AAACAAGAGCAGGATGTAAGAGTCAGTCCAGCGGAAATCTAAGCACTTGAGTCTGACCTGAATATGGCTTTTGCTGTATCGTCTTAATTCCTTTATTTTATTGGCTCCTTTATTAAAGCTCAGACTTTGTGCTGAAGGATTTAGTACTCTCTTTCTCCTTCCCCTTCCACTTTCCAAGAGGATTATCTATTAATCCGAATGGGGACGGTCATTCATTTCCATTACAAAAATAGCCTTACTCTATAACAGGATCCTCATTGCAGCTAGATGAGCATTTTAAAGCGAGCCTGAGAAGAGAATGATTCTCAGCACTCTCTAGATTCCATGTTTATCGTAAGAGTTTATGTTAATGGAATTTAGCTTCAAAAGCAATGGACATCAAATTGAGATGAAAAATAATCATGATAAACACAGAGCATCTCATCTTATTCATTCCTTCATCTGGTGAGTACTAAGCAGACAGCACAATTCCAGGTGCTTCCTAAATACACATAAGGATCAATCTTTGGGAGGTTTAAATCCTGGCAGGGGATACCCAATGCATAAATAATGACAATATGAGATCAAACGTGATGTGTGGCATAAGGAAAAGTACAGAATATTGTATAATTTGAGGAGGAGTGATCACTTCTGGTTGGTGTAATCTGGTTGGTGGCTTGATGAAGTTGGGGATATCTGAGCTGAGGCTCAGTCAAGAGGTATTTTGGGTGGGAGAGATTTCACAAAGATGGGGAGCTGGGGGGATGTGAGATGCAGAGCGAGTGTTCAGTTTGGCTGGAGCACAAGCTGTGTGTGAGGAATCAGGAAGAGTTAAGGCTGGACAGAGCTGAGGTCTCAATGCCCTGCCGAGCAGTAGATGGTGCACAGCAGACTGCAGGGGGCTTTGAACAGGAACTGGAATGACCGAGAGTGAGTTTTAAGGCAATTAATCTTGGCAGTGGTAGATAAGACAGATTCGATGGAAGAGATATTGGAAACTGCTTAGGAGGCTGTTGAAATAGTCTAGGACAGCAGTAATGAGAGTCTGAAATGAAGGTGGATGCCATGGAATAGACAACGAAAGAGCAGATTCAAGAGATCTTAGCAAAGGACTCTCAATGCACTCAGTTTTTCTAGAAGCGAGAGAACATGAAGCAGAGTTTTTTTGTACACTGTTAAATCATATTTGCCAGTTTTGAAGAAAGATAAAAATTTGATTACATAATTTAATAAAGCAGGAGTGCCACAATAGTACTGAATTATTTCTGGGAGCTTTTGAATTTGTGAATTCTAATAATGTTATTTTTAGTGGTTTTTCCCAGTTTTTTTTTTCTGTGAAGAAGATTGGCCCTGAACTAACATCTGTTTTCAATCTTCCCTTTTTTTTTTTCTTGAGGAAGATTGTCCCTGAGCTGACATCTGTGCCAACCTTCCTCTATTTTTTGTATGTGGGACGCCACCACAGCATGGCTTGATAGGCGGTGTGTAGGTCCACACCTGGGATCCAAACCTGCGAACCCCAGGCTGCCAAAGCAGAACACGTGAACTTTAGCCACTACACTACCAGGCCAGCCCTGAAAGTTTCTCCCAGTTTTTAAGTAAGAATTTTAATTGGAGAAGTAATACATACAGAAGGTAAAATTCCAAACAGTACACAGTGGTATATGAAACACAAACTCCTCTCTTATCCAAGAGCCTCTGTCCCATATTCCAGAGGCAACTGCTGCTATCATTTTCAAAGATGTTATTCAAAACATTCTATGCATTTAAAAGCTTAAATATGTACCTATCTTCTCCTCCATCTTTTGACCCAATATGCTCCCAATCTGCCCATTGACATTTTTCCCCTCTCTGCTTCCATGATGCTTTCTCTAGTATAGGGTTTCTCAACTCATCACTGTTGACATTCTGGACTGGATAATTCTTTGTTGCAGGGGGGCTGTCCTGTGCAGTGTAGCCCACAGGGATGTAGGAGCATCCTGACCTCTACCCACTAGATGCCAGTGGCATTCCCCAGTTGGGACAGTCAAAAAGGTCTCCAGCTGTTGCCAAATGTCCCCTGGAGGGCAAAATTGTCCTCGTTGAGAACCACTGCTCCAATCAAACATTTCTATCACTCTTCCTTTTATTAAATCCAGCTGTTTATGTCTTTCTCTCTACAAGTTTGTACGCTTCGTTAGAGCAGGTATGATATCTTAATCATTTCTTCATTTTTATGACAGTACTTTGCTCACACTATCTGCCTCACAAAGAGTTGTTAAATAAAAGGAACAGATACGATACCGAATATAATTAATGTTGCATATCTTAAACATCATGAACATCTCATTAAAGTAGGACGTAATAACCAAATGCATGCTAATAATTTTCCTGGGTACTTGCGGGAGTTACTAAGTGTTATGGACCCTTCAATCATCAAGGTTTCCACGTATTTGGACAGGCAAAAATCTAGACATGAGAAAAGGATCCCAACCACACAAGGCAGAGCATATGGTGCCCAAATAAATGACGCAGGGAATAAATGCTATGAAATTTAGAGGAAGCAGGGAGGCAAGTTTCATACTCGTGACGCTAGATAGTTTTGGAATAAATGATTCATATATTAATGTGTATGCTTTGTGTGTGAGAGAGAGAGAGAATGAAGGATGTATTGGCTGGGGTGGCTGGCATGCTGGGGCCACCAAGACTGGCAACACTAGGAATTTAAGAATCAATCACTGAAAGCTTGAGAAGTTAGATCTTTCTAATCTCTTTCTTTTGGCCTTAGATCCTTTATCAATTTATCCCAAAGACTTGAGTTGGGTGCTGTTTGAGGATGGCCAAGCCTGGATTTCTTAGTGATGTTTTAAGAAGTTAAATGTTTCAAGAAATGTAATATATAAGGTGACCTTGAGGAAACCTCTTCTCTACCTTCCCTCTCTTGTTTTATTCTTTAGTGACATCTATTGTATGCCAACTACGTGTCAGCCCTGTGCCAGACACTGCGAATGCAGCTGTGAGCAGGATGCTGAGGATTCGCTTCTGATGGAGGTTTGATCAAATGAACTGAGATTTCGCGTATAGACTATGTGAACTCCGAAAGAACCTAGTGTTATTTCAAGTATTCAAACCATCTGCATTCATTATGTATATTTATGCTCTATTGTCTCTGTACATAGTAAAGGCAATTAAATATTACCTTATAAACCTTCAGATATGTCAAAAATTTGAAGCTACACTGACCACAATAATTGATTTGCCACTGCAGTGCTGCTCCCGCAGGACTAAAAAGCAGCCAACACTGTGTGTGTGACATAACTGCCTAGATGTTTGGGTGAGACAGGGGGGAATCGCAAATCAAACTGAAAACAGAGCCATGGTAAGAAAGCAGAATGTAATTATCCAGTTGGAATTTGGCCAGTGTGGGAGAGAGATTCGCTCAATTCCTAAGGAAAGGAGTATAAGAACTTTAAATTACCTTATGCATGAACCACGAATATATTTCTGACTCAAGTACAAAGGTCCCCATTACCTTTTGAATCTCCACCAGTCCTACCTTCTTGACAATCCCACTGAAGAGTTCAGAGCCCTAGGAGCTTGGATGCGAGCCAAGAAAACCCTCACTCGGGGAAATTCATTTCTCTTGCGTGGACAGGAACATTTATACAGTAGATGTTTAGAAAAGCTCTATTAGTGTTTTTGGATGTAAGCTCTCTAAATGAGGGATAGAGGTCGTGGTAGCAAATACATTAGTATCATCTCATTGCTAGAAGCTGAGTGCTGCTTAGAAAACAGCCTGCCCACTCCTAAATCCGAGAGAGCAAGGCCTCTTTTGATTATAGACTCCTTGAGAACCTCCTGAAATCTATGAACCTGCTATTCCACCCCGTCTCTCTCTCTCTCTTTCTCTCTCCTGTGCATGAGAGTGCACACGCAAGCACACACACACACACACACACACACACACACTCACATCGCTCTATGCAATTTCGGGAATGGAGGCATCCACCTCTCTGAATTCAGTCCATGGGCCCTCACACTCCAGGTTCAGAAGCTATTATTCAGTCAGCTTGATTTTCCACAAGCTGCTACATCGGGAGAGGGAAACTAAATTCTCTCCTGTGACACATGACCTGCTAAGGAAACTTCTATCACCTCTTCTCGCTAGCTGGAGTACTGGGTTCAATAAATTGCATAGAAAGGGGTCTTACACATGGAGTTTCTTTTATGTTGATATATATTTGTATTTATCTTATCAGAAAATGAATTGTTTTATTTTTTGTGTTCTATAGAAATAATAGAAAATAATGATTATATAAGCTGTCTTAAACTCACAGGTACTTTATTTCAATGATAAATGTCTTGGGATTAGCTGCTAAAAAATATTTCCAAAAGGTTTTACAAGTCCTAAGTACTTTAATGTTACTGATATGTTATGATGTTTACCCTGAACAAATTAGGGCATCTGAATCAAATAATTCAACTGTATTTCTTTTCTTGGGTTATTTAAAACAAATTACTCAACACTCAACATGCCAGGTATATTTTAAAGCTACTTCCTCAAAACCAATTTTTCTTATTGGACACTTAGGATAATATTTACCTCGTCTCTCTAGGTATCCTCTGAAAAAGTGTCTAGTTCTCACAGCAGGCACTCATTTATCCTCTCTTCCTTCTCTGTTTCCTATATGACATTATAACTGGACATATTGAGATATTCAATCAACACATTTATTGATGATCTACTCTACAAGGCACTGTGTCAGATGAGATGGGGAATTCAAAGATGCATAAGACATTCTTCAGGGGAATATAATGTACTATCAAAGATAAGACATGGACCAGAATAACATAAACTTAATGTTATGATTGTATTTATAGTTTTGCTTGTAGAAGTTAAATATATTTGTTATATTTATCTGGCAATTGAAATAACTATATTTTACCTCAGAACTCCATGGCAAATAAATAAAGGATTCAACATCATCATTTTAAAAAACTTTTATGGAATAACATTTTTTAAATTGGTGTTTATTTCCTACCAGACAAGGATGTCAAATTTGCATTTTTGACGAAAACTTCAGTTATTCCAAGAGCCTTCAAAACATCTTTTAAATCAATTTCCTGTTCCACTGTGAACCTAGAGAGCACAGAACGGGAAAAGTATTTAGTTACAGCATCTTGTTACCCAGGACAAGAATAAAATGTTAGATATGTTGATTTTAAAAGTCTGTTTTATAGAGGGTAAATTACACCAAAACTGGCTTTTAACAGCAAGTAGTATTTGGTTGCGCTTGTAAAAAGAAGGAGCATCAAAGAGAATAACATATCAGAATATTATTAAATTATTAAGTAGGAAAAATGTACGTTATGGACACAAAACTGTAATATATGGTGGACTAAATGAGTTTTGAGATCAAGAATCATTACCGTCGATTACATAAAACTTGTAAATGAGTAGCTTACAAAATCATTTGAACTAGTAGGTAATACTTTGATTTTTTAAGCTGATAATGACATATCATATATTTATCCAATGTATTTTATTCTCTTCTTAGTATCCTGGTCAACTTCCCAGTATGTGGAAATGGTTACATAAGAGCCAAGTTTTTCTGTATAACACTTCAACTCCATACAACTCAGAGAAAGAAAATATAAAAGTTATCACATTATAAAATATATATCTTCATGGTTATATTAATCTCTAGGACAAAAGCCCGTTCGCATGGTAGCATCACAGAAAAAGTGTTAATCAGTGAAAGGGAGTTAAATATTACATCTTAAAAATTATGCACTTTTAAAATTATAGTACAGATTTCTTAAACAAAGAATAATAAATCTTTATTTTTTGTCCTAATAGGAAATTTCTCCCAAACAAATGAATTGCATCACCCATCTTTCTAGTGAAAGATATGGACCAAACATGGCTGCACTAACAAACAAATGCATTTTTTTTTAAGGCAAAGGCTTTCATTACTTTTTTATACAAAGTGCAAATGATTGGTTAGAACTAAATGTTTCCTTTTTTCCCAAGATGTTGCCTCCTGATCAATACAGATCATAAATATAAGTTTTTAGGCAATGGGCTGTGTCCTTAAAAGAGGTGTCTGTGATAGTCACTAAATGTTAATTAGCATCCTTTCTGGTGTCTGGTTTTAGAAAGAATGATAAGGGAGTGATTACTATCAACAAGACTCAAAACCAAGAGAAATGATGAGAGGAAAATAGTTTTAGCAGGTCCGTGTTTATGGAAAAATATGACCAATAGACGGGTACATGTATAGCAAACATATTAAACTGAGTACTGAATTTTATCTACATCCAACACTTGAACTTGGACTCACAATTGTTTATTTTGTTTTCTACAAAAAACAGATATTGATTATGAAAGTAGAAAAGGGAGATGAATAGGAAAATATGGAATGTCTTGGAGAATACATTCGATGGCTAGATTAAGGTGTTTTGTGTGTGTTCTTTATTATTATTATTTGCTTTTTGATCACTTATCTGGAGCTTACTGTAGACCAGGAACTGTTCCAAGAGTATAAAGAAAACAGATTAATTTAAATATCACCACAGCCCTTTGAGGTAGGTATTATTATTATCCCCAGTTCATAAGAGAAGAAACTAGGGGCAGAAAGACGAAATAACTTGACCCAGGTCACACAGCTAAGTGGCAGAGCAGGGATGCAGATCCAGGCGGTACTGTGTATGTCCTGATCCAACTAACACAGGAGAGTGAAGGACGACAGCAGTAGGGGATTCTTTTTGCTTCTTAAGAGCAGCTTGGTTTGTTTCCCAGTTCTGAGGCTGACTGTTCAGGTGAAGATGGTAATTCAGCCAGTTTGAACTGGGGCAAGTTGCTTAATTTCTGAGCCTCAGTTCTGGGATGTGAAAAATGGCAATAATAATATTTACTTCATAGTATTGTTGAAGGGATTTAATAAGTTTTCTAAAAGTCTTAGATGGTGCTGGCATGTAGGAGGAATGCAAGAAAGGGCAGATCCTGATAATAGCACTTATTATATTGCAGTTATGTATAACATTCACATTATTATAGATGGTAAGGCACTGGATATTTGCATTTTAGTAGTGGTGGAGTAATTTGATTAAATAGTTGTATTAATCTCTGCTACTTTAACTGTAAATTAGTCAAATCTAGTGTCTCTTTCATTTTAATATTAGTAGTATCTGGCATAGGACAAAATACATAAGATGAAGGCAAATAACATCCAGCTGTCAGTGACTGTTCAAAGTTGAAGACAGGATGTAAACAGTTTCCACTTATCCATTTCTTACCTTTTTTCTATATCAAATTATTGAAAAATAGCTATTATCCACTTACTATCTCTTTCCTCTTAATACAGGCTAATACTAATATAAATATTTATTACCATCTCCCATATACTGAGTGCCTACTATGTCCCAGGCACTATGCAAATCCTTTTATGTATAGTATCTCATTTAATCATCCCTCCGATAATCTCATATGATCCCCTGAGGTAAGTGTTGTTATCTCTATTCCACAGAAGAACAAACTGAAGTTCAAAAAAGCTCAGCAACTTGCCCTAATCACACAGCTAGTGAAGTGAGGGTATGAACTAAGTTCTTTTTGACTGCAAACCCTCCCACCACTAATCACTTTAATTCCTGCAATGGCATATTTAAAAAAGAAACTACAGGCAGACTTTACATTTCACCTGCTGAATTTAAAAATAAAAAGCCACAGCATTGCTTTTTTAAAACCTAAGGCATGCCTGTTTTAATAAAGGCATACAATGTAATTGCGCATTTGCAGTTTTCTATCTGAATAAGGTGAAGAGGGATGCAGAGGGCGGAAGCACTGGGGACTGAGCAGCTGGGCCGAGCGAGTGTTAGAAAAGAACAAATAGATGTTTCATATAAGGAGGTTCATAAAATTTATAAGCAATTAAACGAATCAAACCCTTGGTAGAAAAACCTAATAAAAAGCACTCATATTAAAGAACAAAATCAGATGGCTTCTGTGTTGGTTTTCTTTTACGACATGAAAGTGAAGTGCTTTATTAGGAGACAATCATTTTTAAATAATAGGATGGCTTCTGGTTACAAAATAGAGAATCACTTTATATCCTTTGATTTCTAGCACTCTGATCACAAATGACAAATCTGAGACTACAAAAGTCAGAGTGGCAAGGTACTACCATCAGGTACATCTGCATTCCAAGTATTAAGAAATTTGATTTTGATTTTAGAAAAATCTTTTTATACCTAAGCTATATCAGTAAAGATTGAAAATCAAGGCTATACAATGAACAGGGTAATGCTCATTAGAACCAAGTTTAATAAAAAATCCTACTTACAGAAAACTATATAGAAAGCTATCCATACATTAACATAAGATAAATACTGGGACTCAAAATGTACACTGAAAATTAAACAATAACAGTAATAATAAATAAAAAATAATCATATGATGCTTACTCTCTGCCAGGCATTATTCTAAAGTGCTTTTAATATATATATTTTATATATTAGCCAAGCTACTTTTGCTGCCATGGATAAGCTGGAAGAACATCTGGCAATCTCATGTAAATCTTAGAGATGTAAGGCTGTGCATAAACCTTGTGGTATTTCACTGGATTTGGTGATAACACACAGGTACAGCAATCTTACCATCTCCTGAACAGATTCTTGTATTTTGGATAAAAATACAATGTTAATTCAGGGGATTTATTGTTCAGCGGAGAAAATAACAAAAATACAAAGGTAATTGTCCTTTCTCCCTATCCAAAATACCCTATACCTCTTAAGGAAGCATTTTAAAGCTATTTGTATAAAATCTAGTATAATAGAAAGTAAAAGTACCTGTCAAGCAGGACAAGAATGGGGTCAAATTACAGAAATGCAAAGTTGCATCTTCAGAGCAATATCTCCATATGAATAAAACTACACAAAGCATTGAAGACAGACACTTGAGTAAACCTAGAACACACCTATTAGAAAACTTTTCCCTTTGCTAAAATTGGGTCACATAAATCATTACCCTCACTGAGCACTTATTGGGTCCTAATGCTGTAAAATGAGGGGAGTGGATAGTTATCCACTGATTACTACTGACACATAAGTATTTGAAAAGAGTCAATCTCTTAAAAAGGGAAACTCAATTTTCCTTGTCTAGCTATTACTCTCCCTGTCTAAGCACTAGCCATGGAGAGGGAGCGTTCATAGAACTATGAGAAATGGATACATGGTAATTAACTGTGCCTAGTTTAGTAACAGGCATTAATATGAGCAAGCAAGCTAAACTATTTCATAATTGAAGAGTATCTCTTAGGAAATGAAAATTTAATTTTCTTCTGCTGCCACATTCAACTTCTCAGTGGACAGGACCTGGAGGCCACATTTTCCAGTTAATCAGAATATGTGATGCTTATTAAGCATTCATTTAGAATTCTGTTAAAATACTCCTAAATAACTTAGCATCCTCACAGAATTGAAGCATTTGGAGATGCTGAGCTTAATTCATGAAATTTTAATAAGGAAAGCTTTAATACTGTACTCAATTTCTCATATTATCAAAAGGAATTCCTTATAAAATGCAAAAAAAATACAAAATCAATGATAAAAGGTCACTAGACGAGATTTTAGATCTGATTTAGATAGCTATTTAAACTTAATTATTAATGCTTAAAAGTAAATTGTTCTTTTAGAGTTAAGATACATTGTTTATAAATTAAGTATGTAGATGGCAACTATCATATACAAAAAGACTTTCGCTTTATTTGTCAGACATTCACCAGCTACCTCTCCTTGAGAAAAGACAATCTTTCTACATAAATGTATTGTCATGGAAAATTATGCAAGCTAAATATCTTAGCCAAAAAGAATAAAAGTAAACCATTTGGGTTATGGCTACCTTAATTTTTACATGTAGACTAAGAAATGTATGGCTATATATTATGTATGGTTCCATATTATGAATATATAACACTAACATAATGTGTATATATACTTCTAGCCAAATGTCTACAGTTCCAAATAGATCTCCTTCATTAACATAAGTAAACATCAGCTAAGTTTTTGGAAAAATGACAATTTATGTAAGATGTAACTTTTAAATGACAATTCCTAAAATTAGAATGAATATGAATGAGTTAATGAGTTTTTAGTAATTCAGTTTTAATACTAACATCTTATCACCTTTCAATGTTCATATTAATTAATCATATTTGTATAATTTTCCTAATACGGAATTAGTGTTAGAAGTATACATCCACATACACACATATATGTGTCTATCTGTTGTTTATTTGCGTCTTCTTTTCTAGCCTAGAATTTACACATTATGTTTATAAACTTGTTGTTTGTGTTTACTGGCCTAACTCCCCTACTAAATTTTAAGGTACTGAGCGACAGAATAAACACCTTCAGTTCGGTTTGGTTTTGCACTTATTGTGTCTCTGTTATGGAGGAGAGAACTGACTCTACCTTAGAAGAAGGTACAGAAGGAAAGCAAGACCTCCAAGAAGGTAATTTCCTTGTGGGGTGGTAACATAAATGTACTGTCATAGCGGGGAGGTGCACAAGTGAGCTGAAAGTGAGGGTCACGTGCTCCATCAGGTGGTTCATGGAAGGCTTCCTAGGAGATCTGGTGCCAGAGCTGTACCCTGCAGGCTAAGTAAACAATATCTGGCAAAGAAATGTGAGGAGGGCATTTAGGCGAATGCAAAAACATACACAGAGACCTGGAGGCATGAAAAATGCATGTCTGTGGCATAACCACAAGCACATGGGGAGTACATGTTACAAAATGTTTCATGTGGTGAGTGGCAGAGGTAGGGTTGAGGAAGTGGATGGAAGTCAGAACATCAAGAACCCACATGGATTTTATTCTTTCAGCCACAGGGTGAATTTTAAGCTTCTTCCTGCTTATTTATGATTGCATCTTGGCACCTAGCACAGTGACTTGCTTGCATTCTTCCAATAATGTTGAAGATTATTTTCTCTCCAGCTATAATCAACTTTAAATATTGTTGAAATACAGAAGACTGTCAATGCAAATAATATTCAGAGACAATCTACAAAAAATCTTCTAAAATGAAGCTAAGAATATTGACTGATATCTGAAACTAGGTCCTGGTACACAGTACTGAATGAAACAAAAAGTGAGGCTGTGTCTCTGGACAGGACTGCATTAGGATGGAAGAATACTTTTAAAAAAAGAAGGAAGGAAGGAGAAGGAGAGGAGGAGGAGAGTAGCGTAAGACTTAAAATTCAAAAGCAGTGACATGAGTTTTCCTGAGTCAGGACCTTCATTGACATCCCTCCCTCTGTGCTATCAGAGGGAGTCACACAGCAGCCTCTCACCTGGGAAGGTACACTTCCACTTTTTGCTTTTTCACGGAGTTTGCCCATTCTTCAATCAGCTGTGCTTTGACCAATGGCTCCAGAGTGGCCAGTGGAACTTCCTGTCTGGACAATACCAGCATCATACTTATCTCATCTCCCTCATATGGTATTTCTAGGACTTGGTAGATACCACCAGCTTCATTGGAGCCATCACTAAATTCTCCTAAAAAAACAAAAGAAGGGTGATAAAAGGCCTAGCCCAAAGCTTAAATAAAAGGTATAAATTTGTTATAATTTTCTTCCAAAATAATGTATAGAATATAAGAAATTCAGGCATCTGAGAAAAAGACGGTTTATTTAAAAATAGGCCCTGAAATTGAAGTAAATCCTCAGCCCTGCAAAATTTGTTTTATTTTAGAATCCCCAGAATTATTTCACACTTGTCATAACACGTTCTCTAGACTTACTTTTTATTTTTAAATGAGATACTTCAAATGAATATATATTTAAAGGATATCTATAAAAACAATGAAAAGTACTGGCTGGAAAAATACAGCCCTGGATCCAAGTTGGATGTAAGTCACATTTACCAATATGCACCTGATTTCTATGAAGGGACAAGTTGACCCATAACACCTGGTACTCCATTATTACCACAGTGAAAAGTTTTGAGGCCAAGGCAGCAGAGCCAAAAGGAAATCTATTGCATTCTACAATAGTTATCTAGTGTATTTGTGGTGATTAAGACCTCCAAATTAGGTAACTAGGTAAATTAGGTAATTGGCTTTGTGTTCTATGAACTTAGCCAAATTGACTAGGCTTTCATAAAAAAATAAGGAAGTCTTTAAAACAAATGGTCCTGCCACTACTTTAAAATTTTCCCCATTTTCAAAAAAAAGGTAATGCTTGTGTTACGAAACTTTTCCTGTAACTGATATAGGTCCCTTAGACATCACATTAAAGATTTTGGTTTTCAAATAAATGGATATTTTTCCTTTCTTATTTTGACTGTTAATTTGATTAACTGTGATTATAATCTTTTAATTTTACAGTGTACTTTTAAATAGAATAAACTATTACTTCTAACATATACTTAACTTACAATTACATTTCTGCTTACAACAACAAATTATCGTAGTTTGATATAGTGTATAGGAAGGAGTAACACCCTAAATTTCTAAAAAGTCCAACAAAACATCTTTGAAAATAATGCCAAGGATATTGAGTTCTATCACAAATTATAGGCTCTCAGTAAATGAAATTATGAATGAGTAATTATGTCTGATCATACACACACAAGTCTGAAAGCAAAATTTTAAAGGAAAGCTTGTAATTCAAAAAGTGGTGAGGAGTCCAAATCAAGAGCTGAGTGGAATATATGGTTCACTATAAACTACCCCAAAGCCAGTGACTTTTGGAGTAACTCAGAATGTTCTTGAATAAGGTCAGATATTTTCATGTGAATAAAGCTACTCTGAAGGTGTGGTCAATTTCATAAATTAAATAAAAATACTGGAAAACTGTCAAGGCATATAATATTCACTCAAGATCCAGGAGCCAAGGAAGTTGAATTATAGCCCAAACTAGATCAACAAGAAATTTGAGTAATGAATATTTCATGTTCCTTCTTAGAAATTTGTTGATATACTGCAAGAAGAAAGAAATAAAAGCCAAAATGTGTTACCATAATAAAATTCTCCTTGTTGATACATCATTGGAATCTGGACTTCACTTTCATCATCTTTAGTGAAGGAAAAGGTTCTAGTATTTTCGGGTCTAAACTGTGACTTCCAGTTCCCTTTGAAATAGACAGCATTGATGAGGGCCAGATGAGTGAGAGCATCAAAATCCCTTGGGGATACCAAATCTTTCAACAGACCTAATCATGAAAAAATGAACAGATGAAAATTCACATTAAATTGGAAGGTGAAAGGGGACCAACAGATTATCAAGTGTACCATCTGATAGAATGATCCAGAAAAACTATATACATTATTAAATTTACAATAAAAATTAAAAGCATTTTACTTTCAAAGGAAAAATGTTACATACACACATACATTTGTAGATTAAGGGCATGTAAAACACCCACACTCTCTAAAATAACACCAGGAGCAACTTACACTTGTACAAACTACAGAATCATGTACAAAAGAATCTCAGGCTTCACCACTTTCCAGTTGCGATGATGCATGTAAAACTCTTAACACAGAGCAAGCACCCAATAAATGTTTCTAAGTTTATACAGAGCAAGCACCCAATAAATGTTTCTAAGTTTATCCTTGAACAATGTACATGATTAAAATGTCATCCAATTAAAATTTTCCTGTGTCTATTAGATATCTTTCTACCAAGTATAACAATTGCTTTTGACTAGGGGAAAACAGATAAGTGAAAGTCAATTACACTCATGATGCCTTATTTTCCATCATTTGAAATGTTCCTTTCTAAATCCGTTTTGAAAGACCTTGGCTCTTTGTTGACTGCTAAAAGTGTTTAAAAAGAGTTTGGAAACAAACAGCTTTTAAAAATTAAATCTATTCCAGGTGGACTATTATTCTTTGAATATTAAAAAAAGACAAACATAGGTTTCTTTTATTCTGCATTTTAATCTCATAGTTGAAAAAGATAGGACCAAAATTTGCTCTGTATTCTCTTGTTTTATTAATCATAGTACCCCTTTAGGTGCATAAGAAGGTGCTTCAGCATTTTGGGGATTATAGGATATGTGATCAAGATTTTTGTTGTTGTTCCAAAATAAAATTTATTAGATTAACATTATTTTGCAAGTTTTGACAATACAAATTAATTTAATGAACAGCTGTAGTAATCTTTCAATTTGGTGTCATTTTTTAGATTCTAATTTCAATTATTTTGACAGTAAAATTGGAGAATAAAATGGTAAAATATAAAACATTTGGACAGCTTAAATACATTTAAAAAACTATAAATTAGAAATAAAATTTAAAATAAATGCGTCTCTTTCTAAATCCTCTCCATTTATTTGGGCTTTAAAGAATCCTATGCAAATTTTTTGATTACTAATCAAGTTCCATGGTTTAAAAGCCAACAAACATCTTTAAACTCTAATTTTTAAGTGTCTCTTATTCTTATTATTCTTATTATTTAATTTATATTTCTTTAATATAATAAGAATTTAATTTATAATTTAATTTAATAAGAATTTAATTATTCTTATTATTTAATATTCTTATTATTTAATTTATAATTAAAATTATATTGCTAAGAGAGCCACCAATTGCCATTCTAGGTAGTATCTAAATTATTAAATGGTCAGCTCAAGCAAAATTCCATGCAATAGTCAAGATTACGATACAGAGGAAACCCATCAATTGGAGAGCACAGATTTCAGATTAGTTTATCAGTGCCAAAATTCTATACACGCCAAAAGATTTAACTTCTTTCTTAAACATGTATTCATAAACAAAGCTTCTAAAAAGACTGTAATCTATATGAAATAATTATTAGATACTCAACTAAATGCTATCTATCATTCAAAATGCAAAAGGAACGAGAGGACAATTTCAGCAGTAAAGGAGAGTTAAAGCTAAACTGTCAAAAGGAAAGAAAGGAACCAAATGACATACTATTTGTGTTATTCTCCACCCACTTATTGATATAGTTGGCCACAGCTACATTTTGACTGAAGTCCACACGATTTACTTCTGCATTAAAGTATTTTTTCATCATTTTCAGAAACTCATCATTGATATGAAGTTCATTTTGCACAAAGAGGGAATTGGCAATTTTCATCACATACTGGCTCTCTTCAGCAGTTACCATGTTAGAAAAATCCTTCAAGAAAGAAAATTCTTCACCTGCAAAATGACAAAGGATAAGTTTATTAGTGGAACAAAGACAGTGAAAGATCAAGGAGAGTGAGGAACACCCAACACGGTGAGGGCTTGAAGAAAGAGCACTGGTTTGTTCCCTATGTTGACATGGTAAGGAAGGTCCACGTTTGTGCTATTGCTAGATGTTCAAATTAACTTTTTGCAGCTTAGTATTATCAACGGATATTATTTTTTGTTTTAATTGATGTATCAGTAGAATTTATAAAATCAAGATTTTTTTTGGGTTGTTTTCTTTCAAAGTACTTAAGTTGCTTTCAGTAAATTAGTCTTATAATTATCAAGAATAAGAATTGTTTAATTATCTAATCAAAAAATCAAAATATTCCTTTAAATTTTACTTTCACTGAACTTTTTCTAACCTTATAACCAGAAAAATTCATTAGAAATTGTTGAGTTCTTAACTTTTCAGTGAGTTAATTCACATGTATATTAGAAACATTAAAATAGAAATCATACATCATGTCAAAGTGATTACAAAATGCCTTTTGGCTAGAAATTTTCTCCAGTACATATAATTTTCATAATAATACAACATTTCAAAAAAAATTCTTGGATGCGATTTAAACAATGAAGATACAGTTGATTTTAAGCAAAAATTTCTGATAGAAAATCACATTGCTTTTCCTTATTGCACTCATCACAGTTGCAATTTTTAATTCATTTACGTGATAATGGGTTAATATGTGTCTTTCTCTCTAGACTGGAAACTCTATCAGAGCAAGAACCAGGTTTGCTTTTGTTTATCACACTGAGGTTTATTTAAGTAACAATAACAATAAAAGATATAATTTCCTTAGATTAATTTAGCCAGGGATGGAGCCAGAAATTCACACCTTTCTTGGGTTTCCTAACGCTTCTCCTAGCCATACCACCTCAATGAGATCACTTTCTTCCCTTGTGTAAATACTGCTGCCTGTGGCACAAGAAAACAGAACTGAGTTGAAAGTTAAAGACAAACTATCTTGAGAAATCAAACCTAAGCCCGCTTACCATTTTTCAGGCTGTCATATCCCATTGCATGACGGATTTCTTTCAGTGTAGACCCTTGGGCCCCAAGTTCCATCATTCCCATTGCAAGGGTAACACTCAATGGAGAGAAAAGAATATTTTCATCTTCCCCAGTGGCTCGAAGATGGTTGTACATATTCACTGACAACTCAGCAATGGTTGCATCAGGGAACGTGGCCCCTAAAGCCAAACTTTGCAGAACCACCAAAGAGAAGAGCCCAAGGAAAGTCATGTTGGAATAGTTTCAAGCCTGGAAAACAATAATTTACATATTAATTATTAATTATCTCAGCGAAATGGAGTGAAAGGTAGAAAAGAATAATAAGAATTCTTTCTTGGCAAGAAAGTAAACCAAAAGTTGTTAAACACATCCAGTGTTAATGTCTCTATAACAAAAGCCCCATTAAAGGATATCTTGGAAGCTCCTAGTTTTAAAAAGTCAATTAATAGTCAAATGAACAAATAGCATTGTTAAACTCTGAGGATACTCCCAGGATACAAGATATCCCTGGTCCCCGCCTTCATTGTGTTAAGAGGATGTATATAGGTACATACAGAAGTAATTATGGGACATGTTTGTTGAGGCTAATTTATCAATTTTTCATAGCCTCACCATATATATTTTGGTCATGATTTTGAAACAATTTACTCTAGCTTACACTAAACTACTTAGGTCCAGGACAACCATAAGGAAAATCAAAAGATATTTATAGGGTTTTAAGATGAACTAGTGAAGTTAGGCATTTGAAAATGCTGCCTTACCCACTTACTACAATTTATAAAATTAATGCACCATGCAGCTCAGTTACCAAATGGTGGGAGGAGATCAGAAACACACCTGCCACCAGCCCCAGTTTTTCCAGCCCCGGCTGCAGAACCCACAGGAAGTGGTAACCCAGAGAAAAAGCAGATTCAGCACATCCTTGCGTGGTTTTCCCTTACACATTGCTTCCCTGTGAGGTGGCTGTTCCAGTGACAATTTCTGGGCAGGGAGGAGCATCCCACGACACCATCATTTTATGCTCAGGGTTAGGTTACCATTTCAGATTATACCAACAAACTGGTGACTCTACTTAAATGAATATTTCTCCAAATCGGGCCCATCTGGTTCTGAACAAGTTCTCTTGTGAAAATAAAGCAGTGTCAGTGCCCAGACATCTCTGAATAATGTTTCCGCCTGTCGGCACACCCGTGTGCCAGAAGCCCTGTCTCCCCACAGACAGCACACACTGGGGACAGGATTCCCTTTCCTTGTATTCTCATACCTTGTCTGTCACAGCAGCCATCTGAAAGCTAAACTGTCTAAGTAGCTTACTACTTCTTGATCTTTTTAAAAAAATCATTAAAACAACATGTAAAGTGATATTGAGCAAACACAGTTGGAGAGTTGCATTTTAATTAGTGTAGAGCATTAACAGTCCCCGTTGCTCAGTTTACAGAGTGCGTACACATTTAATGTAAGAGCAGTGTGTTTCCGACAGGCTGTTGAGTCAGACAGTGCTAATCAGTCCTTTAATATTTCTAATCCCAATTTCAGAGAACTGCCTGGTCACTCTGTAAGTCCTTCACATTTTAGCGTTCAGTCTGAAGTATCAATTTTTCGTCTGAGGAGTCCCAAGCTCTCCCCACCTCCTGCTTTTGTATTAATGGTTAAAAACCTCCCCCTTGTCTAAGAAGGGATGTTCTCAGCCAGTATGTAAATTTGGTTTCTCACACCTCGTGCTGTGAGGGGCAGAGGACAGCTGCTGGTGGGGACCAAGTGCACTGCTGCAGAACAGTGTCCGTCATGCATGCAGCTTCGAGACACAAGCCAGGTGCCCAGGCCACAGCGGCCCTCCCAGGTTGCTGTCTTCAGCCATCGATGGAGGCTGCCACGGCATTCTCTCTTCCTTTTCACTCTAGAGAACTCCAGGAAAGGTGGAAGCAGAACAGATGAGATTTCTCTCTCTCTAGATGCAGACGGAAATTTAGCAGGTTCTCTTATAAGTTGAAAGAGAACTTAAGACATATCCGACATTTAATGTTTAAGATGTAATACTATTTGGTAGAACTTTGAAATTTAAGTCAGATTCAAAAGCCCATACTTTTAATCATAACACTATTCTGCTGTCTGACATGCCATCTTAACTTTTACCGTGCAAAGACCCAAAACTGGGCCTTCTTACTTTCATTTAATGTTATCTAGTATAATACCAAGAAATTAAAGTCACTGTATGATTGTAGTAGCTGTCATTCAACAACACAACTATGTGAAAACCATTGCATTTAACGTATCAAATTTTAGGTTAATAAAAAGATTTCATTCATATAAAACAAAAACCAACCTATTGCCAACCAATAAGCATTCCAGAAAACAAGGCCAAGTCTATTATGTCCAAGAGGCATTTTTATTTACAAATGAATGTACTCTGAGATAATAATAGCTTTGGTAAGTCACATGCATTCTATCTGTCTTTGCCTCTTCATTCATGAAATGAAGATACTAATCCCTACTCTGCACAATTATCAAAGAAACAAATGAGATAGCATAGGTGTTTGAAGCACTCATTTTAAGCTACAAGTTATGCTAATAAAGGACATTATCATTAGAAATGTGTTTCCTAGGTTTGTGTATTTGCTAAGTCAAGCAAGAGGCTATAGAGCCCAAATGAGCGGTTTACCATTTCTGTTGGCCCATCTAATGTAGCACCATTAGCTATTCATTCAGCCAAGATTGATAGAGGTACCATGAAGATACCAAAATGTATAAGGACAGGTTCTTGTCCTCAAGGAACTCACATCATTGTGCAAGAGTGCTCTATTACAGTGGTTCTTATCTTTTTAAGAAAAGAGATTCTTTTTAAGAATCAGGAGAAGGACAAATCATCTCTTCAGAAATGCATGCATATGGATAACGGAACATTACATTCGCTGGCCAGGATATTTACCAGCCTCAGGTTAGGAACCCCTGGTCTACAGCAGTTGGTCCAGATGCAGAAAGAAGCAGTGTTTGATGGGCTCGGAGCTCTGCAGCACTCTCTTACCAGAGGAAAGAGATGTCAAAACCACTAATGTACCTTCAGGCTTCTAGAGGACTCCTGGAAAGAATACCCCTATGTTTGTAAGAGAGGGCTCTTCCTAGGGAAGTGAGCAGCAGGCCGCTGATTTACATATTCTGCTAGGAAATTAGGAGCTGTACTGTGGCGGTGAATGGTGGGAGCTGGTCATATCAGGAAACTCTTCAGTAAAGATTTAAAGAACTCTGCCCTGGAAACACATTTTTATCCATAATTAAGTGATCTTTCCGGCTTTCCAGTGTGCAAGCCAAATGACCTCTGCTAGACTGGTCCAGGCTTTCTGATCTCATGGACCCGACCCCTTACCTCTGCTGCTTCTGACTACTCCTTCTGAGGGTTTCTTGGGTCGGTGGGGGGGGAGAGGAGATGACTTCCTTCTCCCCTTCTCCCTTCTCAGTGTAGGTGTTCTCCATGGACCTGTTCCTGGCCCTCTTCTCTTCTGCATAATGCTCTTCTCACTCCTGCTGGTGAACTTCTCTTAAAACAAAGATCCTCCAACTTTTATCCTTATTCATATTATTCCCAAATAAGTAAAATTCTAGTTCTGGCTTTATTTTTATCTTAATTTCTGATGTGCATTGCAAATTGTTCTTGGGATGTCTAGTCCTTGATTCTTGCCAGCACTTCAAATTCAACGTGGCTCAGACAGGACTCTGTCTTATCAATCAAATCTACTTTTTTTTCTTAAAACATCAAAGTCTTCGACTCTTCTCCATCTCTTTTTCCCTTATGTTGAGTGAACTGTCAACACGTATTCCACACTGCATCACTGACACTTCTGTCCATCACGCCATGGCCATTTCCATGGCCCTAATGGCAGTTCTTCCTCTTAATGCATTCTCAAGGACGCCACCAATGGCTTTCAGCTATTCTCTGAACCACAGGTTACTGCCCTCTTCAATCCAACATTTGCATAGCCTCCAGGTGAATTGTCTTGATGTATTGTTATGAACAGATATCCCTGTATTTACAAAACCTCAGGATTTCTCTCATGACTGTAGACTAAAGCTGAAAATCCTTAGTCTTGACCATAACCCACTGCACTGTGATCCAGCATAACTTTCTACCTACTACTCTCCTTCATGAACCCTGCAATTCTAGTCAGACTCCCTTTTGCAATACATATCCCAGAATTTCCCTTTCCTGTTGCTGGCTTGTGTAGTTCTTTTTCTGGAACTACTTCAACCTGGTTCCATATGTTCAAATCCTAACCATTCCTCAAGGTTCTGCTCCACTTTCATTTCCTTTATGAATATCCTCCTGTTTCTTCAGTTAAAACAGCAATTTGCCCCTCCTCTGAAATCCTGGCACATTTTATCTCTACCTGTCCAATAGTACATACCAGTGCTTCCTTCTATTACAGATAATTCCCTACATACATCATCTTGTTTCCCAGGCCTTTTGAAGGCACAAATGGAAGTGCATTCATCTTTGTATATCTTAGGATAATCAGAATAAGCATCTAATGCATTACACATAGTAGGTGCCAAATATGCGTTGAATTAATACAGCATGAGATGTAAAGGCCCACAATGCTTCATTAGAAAGAACAGCAAGAGTAGCTACTGCTTCCAAATTCTTGAGGCTAATTTAATCTAAACCCACAGGTAGTAGCTCATTTCCATTTTTTATTCTCTTTGATAAATTGTTTCCTTATTGAGTCTGAAACCATCTTTCCAGGCTGACAAAGTGGCACTGTCACCAATGCTGGCATAATGCAATGGCTGGACATGGGATGCATTAACAAACAAGTACACCACCTCGAAAAATCACAAAAGGTGCTACCCAATGTTACTGTATTAACATTAGTCTACAGTATGCCAGGGCCCCACCATTAATCATCATAATCAATACATTCCAAAATGAGTTACTCTCACATGGAGCATTACTTTGTAGATTCTTTATTTTCAAGTTCTTGAATAAAATATCTTTTCATGAAAACAAGGGGCTGCTGTACCAGAATAGTAGTTGATAGTGCTGTTATGCTAGAAAAGACAGAAGCATTTGAGCTCTGAATAAACTACCAGTAACTTCTGAATTTCTCCTCCTTGTTGCCAGAGGTAGGGAAGGTTGTGGGTGTGTGTATGTGTGTAGATTGCTTTAGGAAGCACTTCATCAAAACAGGTCAGGAACTAAAATCTTCTCATAATTGAGCAATGAGGGATCACAGAACTAAAAGCCAGCACAATAAAAAAGAGTTTTTTTTTAACTTCATTAGTAGTTAATCTTATTTATAGAAAGATTGATTATTCATAAATGCAATTTGTTGCTTTTTTTGATAACCTAATTATTTGAAATTAAAAAAAAATGGTTCCATAATTGTGAGTTGAGAAAACAAGGAAGGTACTCTTTAGAAGGTAAGAAAAATGGCTGAAGAAGATCCTTACTCCAGCAAAAAAGAGCCATAGGAAATTACTAAGGAGAAACGTCTAATCGAAAGAAAACTGTCTTGAAGTCTTCTGGCCTATTAGTTCTCAGATTCTTGCACGTAAAGGACTAGTAATTTTTTTAATTGAGGGAACCAATATAGAGTTGTTAAATTTTTATTTTACCAAGTAAATACATTGGGATAAGGGCAAAAAAAAAAAAATTAACAAAATAATGCCTCTTACAATCACATAAAAGAATGAACACATCGACCACATAAAAGAATGAACATTTCAACATGGAAATAAGACAGTCCTTTAAAATATATATTTGAATTCAGGAAGTCTCACTCCTCATTTTTTTTCATGGGTTAGCACTGCATGTTTGGAAACCATTGCTCTAACTTTGGTTAGTACTAGCTCACTTGATGAAATTTGGAACAGGTGGAAGTCTCCAGGCTTTTGTTTCCTGCTTTACTAAGAGAAAGGGTTAACCTAGATCAGCAGCAATGAAGCTGGGAAAATTGTCAAAGAATCTGTTGCACACAAAAAAAGAGTCATTATCTTGTGAAACAATCTGTATTTTAACAATCTGTAATTTAGCAACTTTCCTCAATTGTAACATGAGTGGTGTCCCTCCCTGCCGCTAACTTTAACTTTTCTGAAATTGGAATAAATCTTATAATCAATGTCCAAAGAAAGCAGCTAGTCCTCAGAGAGGCAAGTTGTTACCCTGTTGTCATTTCTAGCGTAAGGTGTCATAGCCTGGACAAGTGTGAACTTTCAGCTACTTCTTTATCCTAGCTGCCTCAGTTGACTTATTTCCATTGATGCTGCCTCCCAGAGTTGAGTTTTTTGCTTAAACTTGGATCCAGAATTGTCCTCAATAGGACTGTACTATGATGGCAGCACTGAAAAGAACGAAGACCATGTATGCAGAAGAGAAGAGAAAAGAGGACGTAAATTTACTGTGAGTGATGCAAGAATTCATCACTGGAAAAATGAACTGATTTTCTTGTACAAAAAACAACCAAATGTTTTACAAAGGATCTGAGACTAGAAGATACATGCAAGTAGATAAATTTCTGCAAGTAGGTAAATCTCTTGTCCTTGGGATATGTAGATAAGAACTGCCTGTTGGATGCCAATTAGCACAATTAAAAGCAGAAGAATTTGCCAAATCTCTCAAAATAAGTCACAGTGTTCTCAAAGTGAGGAAAGGTGAATGACCCGGCTTTGTGAAGGACTACCACTCAGGTGCTAAGTTTCAAAAGCTTCCTGATAACTTCCGAAATTAGCTGTATAAATGTGTGGAGAGTAGAGTGTGGAGGTAGATTAGTCAAATAATCAAATGGAAATGTAGAGAATACACTAGTATTCTTTGAAATGCCTTAAGATTTTCATTCACAAAGGTGTCAAAAAGTTTCACTTGGAAAATGCATTATGAAAAGTATCACGTCATATGCAGGATAAATG